TATGAAGTTTCTGTCATGTTGTGCTGTTGAAAATTAAGAAGACAATGTGGAAGCAGGAAGGAACCAAGTCATTCAGCAAAGTATGGGCGTTCACAATCAAATAATAAAGTGTTTATAATTACATTTGAATCTAGTAGTTGAGGGTGGATTTTGCAGTCATTACAACAGTGTAAAAAAGTGTTTGGTTTTTAGCAGACAAAAGCAGTGCACAATGACAGAAACACTTCTGCAGTACAACAAACTAGGTTGGAGTCAACGTGAGGACACGGAGCATGTTCACTCCCTCTATACCATAATCACATATTTCTGTGTGTCTGTGTGTTTCTGTGTGTAAATAGACTCCCTATTGAGACATCAGGCTTTTTGTGAGCACTTACTCCAGGCGCTGCTCCATGATGGAGACTGTCATGTTGGAGCAAAACACTTGCAGGCCACTGCTGGGCCACAGCACAGGGAGAGGCACATACTCCTATAAAGTACTACACATGCCTCACACAAACTCACACACACACAGTTGTACAACAGGACGCCTGCTGAGTCTGAGTGGTCTTGTGGCTGAAGATGAATACAGAGAGGAGTCTCATCCAAACCAAGAATGGAACATATTACAGGGTTGTAAATGTTAGGGATTATTTTCTTCTGCCAGCAGATGAAATGTAAAGTACAAACTGAATACAGAATTCCCTACTGAATCTATCACCCTTATACGCATGTCTGCCTCGAACACGATAACTCTTTATGCATGACTTTGACCTTTGAATACCCTCCACTACTACAATGACTATATGTCAGCACTCTGGATAGTATAAATAGAAGTCAAATACTGCCCACATACCAACTGTGTACATGTTTAAGACACACAGAGTGTAGCAAAATAAACGTTTGCACACTTACCGGTAATTGTTGTGCACTTGTGGTGAATAGACTATAACTGCATTTCAGCTTATTAAGAAAAGATTACTTTGTATGAATAAAGCATAGATAACAACAGGCACACCACACACAGCATCTGTGCCTCTGTGAAGATTATAGAACCTTTAATCATCATTAATCATATTTACTTTCACATTTTAAAAGTCATTTTAAAAACTTAGTCATGGTCAATTTACATGCTGCTTTTTTAAACATTTATTTTCAACGTCAGTTATGAACGTTCATGCACATCTATGAGGGTGAATGTAGTGTGATCAGCCACGGTCTGTGCTGATTTTATTTTGGTTCAAAATGCCAGTTTATTGCATTTGATATTAAAACCTCCAAACTAAATTACATCAAATTAATGCAATTCAAATTGAGGTTGAAGTGACATGAATCACATGTAAAAAACTGTTGGGATTTTTGCTGTTAGCAATCTAAACTAACTTAAGTTTCACTTTCTGAGTAGGTGGAGACAGATGTTGTAAGGAGACTGATTTCTTTAACCACTTCATGTTGATATTCATCGCTGTGTTAACATGTTTATTTAAATTAATATCTTTATCGTATAATGGAAGATGATATTTTCCTGTCAGTAGCGCAACATAGAAGTTGACAATGCATCTCCTGGACATGACTGCGTGTGTGAAGATTAATTGATGTTCCAACAACAACTTTATCATCTTTTGCAAATGAAAAAAGCTCAATCATTATAATTCACATTCCCTGGACAGAAACTGAATAACATTCAACTGTTTGTAATGGCTCCTACCCTCCAAAATATACATCTCACTGTTAAAGTTGAACATGCTTTCAGCTCTAGACAATTCAACATCTACAATATACCAAAAATACTCATACAGCTGCGTTACAACAATGACGGTACATGAAGGGTTAGGGGTCTGCCTCTCTCTGATTGGTTCATTGACCCTCTGTCCAGGGATTTTATAGCCCTTAATTGTGGCCTTTGTAAAAACAACTATTCCTTCTTTGCAGAAATCCAATTATCATGTCCTTCCAAGACATAAATATTTTGTTTTGTTTTATAACGGAGGTGAAGAGGAGGACAGCAGGCAATGTAGAGAAATACACAACGAGGAGCTATGAGGGAGAGTAAAGTAAAGCAAAAACTTGGCTTTTTCAGAAGACTTATCTTTTATGTATGAATATTTTCAAATGACAGCTAAGACAAATCTGAGAGTGCACCTTTTGCTATCTCAGTCATTGACCAGAATACACTCGGTATTGGGAAACAAATCCATTATTCAGACGGACTCTCCAAACTCCAGGCAATTCAGGTTTGAGCAAAGCACCCAGGCTCGCTGTGGGTCTTTGTCATGTCCTGTTACCTGAATTATTTATTGCCCAGAAAAAATATAGAGCTGAAAAAGCCATTCATTGAAAACCTGAGCGTGGGGAAGAGGATGAGAAAAGGGAAAAGGTGGGAAAGAGCAAATAGAGACAAGTAAAAAAGGTGTAGTGCAGCTGACAGATCCTGTACAGAAAGCCACTCGGGGATAATTCACGAGCTTTTTAAATGCAGAATTAGATAAACAGAGGAAAATCTAAGAACTGGAGCCAGTAAGATGGAAATGGCATGATGATACACACACACACACACACACACCTGCATGTGTCCAGCAGGATTTGTATTTGTCTTCCCTCCTTTATGTTCACAATCAAAGCAGTCCACAACAAAACGCAGGAACGCCACAGAGGAGTAACAGCTCAGACCCAAACGCTTTCGTCAAGACTTCTCTCTTTTTCTCTTTGCCTTCCTCCACCTCCACATTCTCTCATCCAACCCCTCCCTTATCCATTACTGCTCATCTCACCTGCTACGTCTGCATTTAGTTTCATTATTACAGTCTTAATTTGTCTCTTTTAATGTGTCTTTGATTTGTTTCTATATTTACGATAAATAATCAAACTATTGCTTGTAATTGATGGCTGAAAAGGAAATTGGTGAATATAGCATGTGGTTTGTGTGAGTATGAAATAGACTACCGGTAAGGAGGGTTGGCAGTTCTACATTTCTGAGCAGCATTACCCCATCTGACAAACCTCTGATGGTTAATGTTTGTCTGATATGCCCATCTAATATTCTCATTTCTGTTTGTCCTCAACAAAAACTTTATTTCTCTAAAGATTAGCTGCGGTAGCTAACAGAACCACAGTGGCAGCTTTTGTAGCTACCAGGTAGTAAACTGATTCCACAAAAATAATACCCTGGTCATACCAATCCAGAAGGTGCCAGAATTTCTGCATCAGCTGTAGCAGGTCTCTGTAGCTTCAGTAGCAAAGCTAGTTATTTACTATTAGTACTAGTTATTTATTATTAGTTATTTACCATTACAGCTCCCGGTAGCTACAATATCTGCCATGTCAAGCTACCAGAAATACTGGTTGCTACTATAATTGAGCTTGCCCAATGCCCTTGCTGAGTTTTTTTCTACATTTTTTATTTTTATTAAATCATTTATGTAGTAATTTTAGTCATTTTAGTCCCCAAAACATTCTGATTTTGTCACCACTTCCCAAATTAATGCAAATTCATTTTTAGAAGAATACAATTATTGTTTGAGGACTAGAGATGATAATGTTAGACAATAATAGACACTAATTATAGTTGGGAGATGATTTGGGAGCTGGTGTTAATAGCTGCGTGCGGCTACCAGAAACACAGCAGTAGCTTCTTGGGATGTGTTTTGGCAGGCTACCATAATACCCATGGTCATTAAAATCCCCATACAATGAAAAATACATTTAATTAAAATAATTGTCCAAAGGCTGCCAGAATTTCCGTGGCAGCTCTAGCAGGTCTTGGTATCTACTGTAGCGAAGTTACCATTGAAGTTCCTGCTAGCTACCATAAGTGCCCTGTCAAGGTACCAGAAATACCATCTGGTGGTAGGCAGCAGCTACCAACTGTTCACTTGCAGCTGCTGATAGCTGCCGGTAGATATCGAATGTGGTGAGCTAACATACCATAACATCATTGAGCTTGCCCTCTCTCAAAAAAATGTTGATTGACTGGTTTGGTTTGAAACCATTCTGCATGATATAATTCAAAGAAGACCTGAATGAAACCAACTGATGATTATAATTAATTGATTAACTAATTAATTTGAATTTGGCAGGGTGGGGTGGAGGTACTGTTTAATATTTTGGGTAAAACAATGGAGTAGTTGTTAGGTACTGTTATTAGATTTGAATCTCCTCTTCATTTAATCCTTAAATCAATGATAAAGACTTTGATGTAATAACTTGAAGTTGCAGTTTTTTTGTTGGAGCCACAATTAATCAACAAATGGACTCTAATGAGCAGTGAGGAAAAAGGGGAGAGGTTTAATACATAAAAGAATACTTAAAGGGTTGTTTTCCCCCTTGGATGTTAGCACAAATATCATAACTCAAATGCAAAACATGGAAAACAGAAACATTATCCAAACAGACAACCAGGCTCTGATGTACAGTAAGCATGGTGGGATGTTTCCAGCGGACTGCAGCGAGGACTCCCTGAGGAGCGTGGGAGAAACACAGCCTCAGAGCCCGTTACCGTGTCAAGCACCTACTCCCACATGCAGCCCGTTGTTTCTAATAAAACCCTGATTCAACGGCTAAATCAATATTTGTTGGACCTCTGAGTGCCAAACAGGTTGCACGGAAGAAATGCAAGTACCCACTGTTGTAAAAAAATAATAATAATAAAGATAAAGGTAAAAATAATGTACATTACCAACATAATGTTTGAAGATTATACAGTTTACAAACACTAGGCTACAACTATATAATGTTACTGGTTTAAAAAATATACTGCGTAAAAGTTTCACTGATGCATTTTGAAAAGTTAACAGGCTTTTTAGTTTGTGACATTGATAAGCACATCTTTATTACACATAGGCTAATGAAGAACTGACTGGTCGAATCGACTGGACAGATAATGGACTCTTGATGGAGACCTGTGCGCAAAATGCTTGCTCAATTTAAATCTAAATTTATTTTACAACAAAAATGGCGGCATAAAATGTGATTTCTTTACAGCTTCAAAGCGCGTGAACGTTTAAGGAAAACTGCACTCTTACCTCTTGTGTGGAAATCGTGCGCTTAGCGTGACATGTCGGAAACCTGTGTGCTGTTGATGAAGCTTCCCTTCTGTCCTGTGGAGCAGCAGAGCACATTCTCAGCAGCTGCGGCAGCTCCACCAAAAGCATGAGAGAGTTAACCTGCTCAATGGGATGGATGAAGCCATGCACTACCCACGGACAGAGCTCAGGCTCCTGCTGGATGGCATCAAGACTGACAGATGGTGGGAGGTGCCTTATCTATTACCTATGTCACACAGAGAAAAATACTCATAACTGAGAGTAGTCATTGGAATATGAATTTAAAGTCCCAGGCCATTTTTTGTGGGCTTAATTGTCAGTCACATTATATAATGATAGGGGGCAGCTGTTAATGCAATTATTAAAACAAGGGTATAAAGAAAGCAGTTTGAAACGGCAGAAATGTATCAATTAACCCAAGTGATGTCACTTGAATTAGGTGAGGGTTTGAGCTTACAACCCCAAGGTTAACCATTTAATTAGATAGTTGACTTAATGCTTCATTAGCTGCTGCTAGAAGAGTACCTTTTAACAGTTGTTGTGGTTTGTGTGATAGAGTCAAGCTGTAGCAAACTTTAGGAACTTGTGGACTTTAGGAACTTGTGGACTGATTAAATGCCTATTGATGTCTGCATTTAGCAACATCTGAATGCCACTGTGTTGGGTCATCACTGAAGACTGAAGGGGCATGATGGCTGTTCAATCAACTTCATGAAGACAAAATATAATTATGATATACTGTAAAATTGAGAAATAGGCTTACATTGTCATCCCAACACAGGTCATGTAACATTTACATCTGTTGGAGTCCTATTTCCCTCCTCTAGAAAGACAGGCGACCATGATGCTTTGCTTTGCTTTGCGTATATGACAGTCTGAACTATCTGCCTTCAGGTGACATGTCACTAGGTGTTGACAAGGATGAAAAATGCATTGAATTAAAATGAAATATCTTGGGTTATGATGGATCAGTTTGGATCCCTTTCTGAAATAATGTCCATTTGAGTTCACATCCAAAAACAAGTACATTGATTAATTTGTGGACTTATCTTTCAGCGAATACCAGATTCTTATTGTTCTTGTTTTAAAGGAGCTCTCAAAGAATGTGGCAAGTGTAACAAGTCCTGATCATGTGTTTGTTTTAAAGGTTGCAAACTCAAATGACCACAGATTCAGTAAACAACTTAAACGTCATCTGCACACTTTCAGTGAAGTGGAAGAAAATCTAACCTGTCAAACAGAACTGTTCAACAGGTGGAATGTGTACAACCCATCTAAATGCAGAAATTGTACAGAGCTGCAATAAAAACACATTTAAACATCACAAAAGCCCTATTCAGTGTTAACTACAATGAATGTACATTAAAGCAGGAGGCAGCCAGCATGTACAGTATCTCGAGTGTTTTCAGTGCACACAAAGAAAAGCATATGACCAGTGTTAACTTTGACATGGTGTGTATGAGGGTGTGTAGCTAGAGGGCTAGAGGTCATGTATAAATATATAGTTATAAGAACAACTGTGTAAATCTCATATGGTCCATGACTCATTCCATAAACTCTCATGTGTTTCATGTAAATATGGAGCAATCAGAGAAGACTGCTTGCAGTTCTTTTATTTTCTTAATGTTCCTAAATTATCTAAAGTAGATGATGAAACAGAGAAGACACTTGACCCATTGAATATCTCTGCCCCAGACAGTTCAAATCTGTCCTCAGCTTTTTGCTGCAACCTTCCAAGACAAGATGGCAAAAGTGGCACTTCTTCCTCCAGCTAAGGCCATCATCTCTCTCTCTGCTGTTAGGATAATGGATTGTTTCCAACCCCTCGCCCCTTGCAGCTGCTTGCCTTTCCTTCATTCTCTTTCTCTGGTTTTCTGAGGCACCAGCAGGCTGCAGCTGACAGGACGGTGTAGACCAGGGGACAATTAGGGAAGCGTGGGAGAACCAGCTGGACCTGTTGCCAATTATGCTGACTATGACCAGGAACCACACTTCCAAAGCCAACTTAATGGGCTGACCCTGTACATCTTTGTAGACCGATTGTGGACCCTATGTAGACACAAACTGACTGATATAATTTGGAAAATAAAAAGTGTCAGTTTAATTCATTCATCTTTAAAAGGTAAAGTTACACAGCAGTGAGTAAAAGTGCTTTCTCAAGTAAAACTTTTATCTACATATGTGGCAATGAAATGTAACAGAACAAAAGTAACCAAGGAAGGAATCTGAAAAGTCTGCAGACTACGTAGATTACACACACAGGCAGAGATCAGCTGTTTCATCTACATTTTGTCTAAGAGGGAATAATGTGTTTCCTGCCCCGTTGTCAGCTCCTGTGCATCATCAGTGGGCTATCTTCCCCAGCAGCATCCCCTGCAGCTGGCTGATCCTGCTCTCCTGTGGCAGCGTAACGCCGTTCTCCACTCGCTCGTCCTCCTCCAGCAGGTGCTCGATGTAGCAGGAGGAGCCCAGCAGGATGTGGCCTGTAGCCTGCATGGAGAAGATGGTCCATCGCAGAGCCTCCCTGGAGGGAACAGCGCACAGACGAAAAGATGGAATGATTAGTCATAAGAAGAAAACTTTTTTCAGCAGATACAGTTAACACACACAGGGAAGAATCATGAGTAAGAATGAGCATGCATGAATATATGAAGAGAGAAAAAAATAACTTGGAACAACTTGAGTAATTGTTACAGAAAATGAAATAGACAAGCATGACAGGTTAAAAAAATTACTGACAGGATATATTCACTACCTCAGAATATCAGTTTGGAATTAACTTCACATCATACAACTGACTTCTAAAAATGTCGCAATGTTACATTTTCCTTCAGCAGAAGCTTTGGTCGAAAGCCACGTATATCTGAGAGTAAGCACAATACAAGCAATGATCTAGACAGGAGGAAAAAAACTTAGTAAGTGCCAACAAACAGCTTCTAGTCCGATCGGATTTAGGGGCTGCAAGGCAGTGCACGGAGGCAGTGCTAAGGGAGTATAGTTATTTTTTTTATTATCCCCATAAAAAACATTAATGGCTTCCACATTGATATCATCATTAGCATGAATATCTTTATCAACACCATCTTCAATATCATCATTATCAATGTCATTAAGTGCACAAGTGTTCATGTGTGCAGAAAAGGGCTCTGCAGATCGATCGGACTTAGGTAACTCATTCCACCACCAAGGGATTAGAGATGAGAAGAGTGTAGTTAGCAACTGTTGGCCCTGTTGTGATGGTTGGAACTGGGGACTTGGATAATGGGGTTTAGGTATGGAGGAGTTGTTTTTGTCTTGATTTTGTAAGCCAGTAACAGGGTTTTGTATTTGATTCAAGCATCAGCTCTTTCTGTTGATTAGGGGGGTTGAAGACCAGTGGGGCTGCTGAGGTCTGGATCATCTGCAAAGGTTTGAGTGTGCATGCATGGAGACCTGCCAGTAAAAAGTTGCAGTAGCCAATGTGTGATATAGCAAGAGCCTACACCAGGAGTTATGTTACATGTTTGACAGGTAGTGTAATTTCTAAGAAACAAACCTATTGCTGCATGAAGCAACAAAAGCCACATTTTCAACAAGTTTGCAAAGTTTAACTCTCTTCAATTGAAGCTTCATGCAAAAGAGGAATTCAGCAGATCTCATTAGGGATGACATAACTCCTCAAAAAAATGAAACTATTAAAATCTAGACTATGTTTTTCACCAATTCGACTATTTCAGCTCCTCTACCAATACAGTGAATTTAATTGAACCCATTCAGATAAATTTAGAATAGCTGTGCTAGGTTTTGGACACAGACTACCATGAGTGGATTATAAATGAATTAGGAACTCATTAACATTGATCAATTTTCATCTCCAGTATTTGATTTTCATCTTGCAGTACACTGTTAAGGGGTATCCAAAGTTATGCCTTGGTGCATAAAACAGAGGAACACTTTTAATGAAGAAACAAACAAACATCAATTACATAATAATTGAAACAAGTATTTTTCCTCACTTAAGCATCGTCTTTGCAGCGTAGCAGCGCAGGTTGTAGGACAAGGAATAAGCTCCATACAGGGTTGCTTTCACGTTGAGGCAGCCGATGAAATCATTGGGGTTGTTCTTGTAGAGGTCAAAAGTCAGCTTCGCCACATCTGTCCTATTCTGCGGCCTGCACTCACTGAGCTGATCTTTGGAGGGGTTGAGCTGTAGGGTGATAGAAAGGGAGGCATAATTCAGATAAACAAGGTGCAGGCACATTTGGATGCTCTGACTCTAACAGGAAACCGGCCAATTGGCAGCATGCAGTATGTGTTATTCTTCAGTCTTTAGAGCCTTGTAATCATTCATATTCATGATGTTGTATTAAAGAAGCAGATATTTTCCTAACTGTTCATCTACTACATCTATCAGCTGAGCAAAGACAGATGATTAAAATGATAAGAGCTCCACTGTGCAATTTAAAGCTGAGGCAGTTAATCAACAGTGTCCCCTAGTGGTTGATGTGAATAGTTTCAATCACTGTCGTACTGTATTCGGGGTCCACTTCTGCTCCTTCTCCAGCACCATGAGGACAGCGTTTTTAGGCAGGGTCTGGAAAAAATCCTCACTGTCCACCCCTGTGCCGTCTTCATCCAGCAGCAGAGCGCTGACACATGGCACACTAAACGAGTCGCTGGTCTGAGAGGTCAGGAAGGATACGCTCATTAAATATGCCACACATCACGTCAGCCAGCTGTACCATCAGATATGTGAAAAGTAACGACCAATAATAGAGTGAACAACTTACTCATGTGAACTTGAGTCAGCATGAGTTTGAAATGTCCATGATGAAACAGATGGTGCTGCAGTAAGTGAGTCAGAGGTGACTCTGTATGAGGTAGTTTAATCCTTATACACACCCTGCTTCAAGTTCTCTTTGAGTAACCGGGTGATCATTCATCCACACGTAAATCACAACATCCTCTGCCCTTTTAACCCTTCACACTCACCTTGTTCATCAAGTCCTCGAGCGTGTCCGCCATGATTCCCTTCTTCACACTGCGATCAGCATTAGTGACCCTAAAGGGCTTTGGTCGAGGACCCCGACCAGACAGGAGCTGATGGGTCATTGAGGCGCTGGCTGTCACACACCTGAGGAGAGATCAAACAAATCAGTAGA